TGAATACTATGCTTCACATAAGAGGTGAGTTTAGAACAAAGCAGTTGACTTATTTCATCACTTTATCCTCTAACCAGGACCTAGTATAGCTTAGTGCCTTAGTTGCATCTAATAATTTTGTATACAGATATTTATATCTTGTGACAAGCAAATCTTCACCATGTTGGTATGTATCAGTTTGTTGAAAAGTTAGTAGTTGTCTAAGTTGCAGAAATTTCATGTTATGTTAGGGTTTTTTTTTTCAAAGTTAATAGGCTGAATTGGCAAACAAGGATGGTACTATACTTGCTTGTACCATATAATTGAACTACCATTATAATTACCTTATAATTGAACTACTATTACCACGTTTTTCTTGACTTCGTTTCGTGTCCGTCTGTCATCAAAAATTCAAACCTTAATTTAGAGCACTTCTGAAGATCCTAGTAAGTTGAAATTTGGCATGCATGTTTATGCTGCCTAACAATTCAAGATTTGGTCATCAGAAATGATAATTGAAAATTTTTTTTTTTCATTTTTTTTCAAAAAATTAAAAAAAAAACTAAAAATTCAAGGTTTGGAATTGAGTTTTTCTCGAACATCCACACTTGCCAACCCTGGAAATTGATTTGAATTGCTAACATTGCTAACTAAAAAGTAGAAAATAAATAAATATAAAAAAATATTTTTAAAAACCATGTTTTTCTGGTTTTTACAAAACTAAAAATAGTGAAATAAAACAAATAAAATTTTTAAAAAAAAAACACGTTTTCTTAACGGACAAAAAAGAAAAACATTTACTCTTACATAACATTACATAACTTAAATGTTATGTAAGAGTGAATGTTTTTCTTTTTTGTCCGTTGAGAAAACGTGTTTTTAAAAAATTTTTTGTTTTATTCTATGGTGGTTCTTTTGTGGATCTTAGTTCCTTGATAGGAATTGAAATGAAAAATTTACGATTCTACCACAAATATGATTTATCTTAACATCACATTACTACTCGATCAATATTTTTGATTGAAATTCCAACGGACTGTATTAGGAAAACAGAACTCTAAGGTTTGCAAATTTCAGAAAATGTGTAAAATTGAACAAATTTTTTGAAATGTTCAATTTGGCTGTAAAATCATTAATATAACCCTGTAAAGAATTTTTTAATTCTTTTATTTTTTGGACGAAATTTTTCCATGTGTTTGTTTATGGACAAATTATGGCCTTTATTGATCTTCAAAATAATTTCTTAATTGTAAACTTCAGTTTACATGAATGAAAATGACTATTTACATGCCCTTATTTTCTCTGTTTTTTTTTTTAACTCTTAATCCTTAGATTAGACAAGATTTTACTCATCGAATGTGTTGTATTGTTTGTTTTAATGCAAAAATGTTCCTGCTAATTACCGGCTAATGGTGACATTGTATCATTCATAAATTCCCTTGCGATTAATTAAAAAAAATGCATCCTCTAAAGGCCTAAGAGAATACTCTCTGTTTACTCAGCCATTTTCTCCACTATGACTTATTTTTGACATTAGAATTTCTTCTTGTTTATCAATTTATTCTTCATAATTAATTAAATTAGGATTATGATTCATTTGCAATTCACTGTCTAGAGTTTCATCGTTTTTAATTCATGTCTACATTATTTCAAGCAGATTATATTACTGAATGAACATATATACCACTGTGTATAAATGTTCCGTTTAAAAAATAAATACTAAATATAGGGAGTTTTGACGCAGGGCCTGTGTTGTGCAGCTATTACTCTGACTTGGTANATCGCAGGTGGTGATGTCTTCCTGAGTGTGATGTTGACATCATCGCAGGTGATGATGTCTTCCTGAGTGTGATGTTGACATCTCAGGTGGTGATGTCTTCCTGAGTGTGATGTTGACATTATCGCAGGTGGTGATGGCTTCCTGAGTGTGATGTTGACATGATCGCAGGTGATGATGTCTTCCTGAGTGTGATGTTGACATCTCAGGTGGTGATGTCTTCCTGAGTGTGATGTTGACATCATCGCAGGTGGTGATGGCTTCCTGAGTGTGATGTTGACATGATCGCAGGTGGTGATGTCTCCCTGAGTGTGATGTTGACATCTCAGGTGGTGATGTCTTCCTGAGTGTGATGATGACATCGTCGCAGGTGATGATGGCTTCCTAAGCGTTATGGTGCACACGTCGCGCGCCTTTGGGGCAGCGCGCGTGGAGGAGCAGAAGGAGGCGCTGCTGCCTGAGCTCCTCGACAGCTTCAGGCGCCTCTTCCCGAGCTGGCCTGCTCCGTGCGACGCCTTCTGCCACAAGTGGCGCTACTCGCAAGTAAGTCTTAGTCTGCGCTGAGCAATGTCGATAACTCAAAGCATCAAAAACGAAAGAAATATATCGAGTGTTATCACCTGTTGACTAAATTCATAGGCTGTGTACAATACTGTGATTTTTAGTTTTGAATCATGAACACATTTACGATAGTTTAGCCGATATTCCCCATAAATGACCCATTGTCTTCTATATAACATAGTTGCAACCCCAATGGAAGTGTCAAGTTTTGTCCTAGAATTTTTTTTATTTGAATTATTAAGTAAAACAGCATACAGGGAAGATGAGGTATAATAATATTCATCATTACACTGAATATTAGCATGGCTAGCCCGCATAGTGTGTATGTACTCATGTGGCACCAAGGGCTGTTGTACTGCAGGTGGTGACGCCGGTACCGGAGAGCAGAGGTGGCAGTGTTGGTGTAGGGGGCGGTGAGCTGGTGCTGTCAGGCGACGCCTTCACGCACTCCAACGTAGACGGCTGCATCAGAGCCGCTACAAGCGCTGCTGCTGCGATCACTCAATACGTTGCTAGTCTCAAAACGGCTGATAAATAATTAGTAGATTGAATGTTAGTACGTAGTTAGAATGTTCCCCGTACTTTGAATATTCCCAATTTATTGTTATTGTTACCTCTTCTGCTTATAAAAACCAGTTTCGTAATTGACTATGGTTACACAGTCGCCAGACTCTAGCAAGAGATCAAGAATACGTTCAACTAATTGGAGTTTGCACCTAATGTTGCTTGTGTCTTACAGTAACCAGTCATGTTGCTGGATATCTTTACTAGTGCTAGCTATCATTCGAGATTTGGGCGCTCTACTATATCTATTTGATTACTTCTTATTAAAACTGCAATGAAGAAAAGTGGATTGGTATCATTTTGTATTGAATGAATATTGTTGATTTATTATTTATGTAACCTTCAGAGTTGCTGGAGGTTAAAGATAAAATTGCTAAAGCAGACCGTGGTTGAAAGTTGAATTGGAAACGAATTCTATTTCAGATGACTTGTATAGTGCAATATGAAATATATAGTTTTGTCTACAGCCGTCTTTTTTTATCACGTCTTCGATTAACATGCTGTACTGTTCAATTTTTTTATTCGTTCATTCCCAGTTTTCTAAAATTAAAGTGACGTGATCAAAAGCTGTTGCATTTGTCGTGGCTGCCTCATCACTTGATTTAATGACGTCGCAAGTCGAGTTTGCTGCATGCATTTTCACGTCTTGTCATCACAAGTTTCCGGATGTGATGTTGACATCATCGCAGGTGGTTATGATGAAAATCTTTAAATGACATCGTTGAGTATTTCGTCCATTTACTATTGTCAGGCGCTATGTATTAAGCTCCACCTGAGTAGGTACAGGGATACGTGCGTAAGGTCGTGAGGGATAAGTAAGACACCATCTGTCATGAGAACTAATCTTGATACCCTGTGGTAATACATGAGTGATAGTACAGAGGTATTGGCTACGGCGTCGACCATTAGTTGGTGTAATTCTAAAACACTCCTGAAAAAAAAGAAACGAATTATTTTTCGCTAAAGACTTGATAAATGTAATTAACATCTCTAAAATAATTACAGGACAAGGCTTTTGGGAATACTAGAGGTGAATGTGAATTACACCAACTAATCTGAATCTGAAAATTAGTTAGTGTAATCCACCCCACACTTTAATCGTTACTGAACTGAATGCATTCATGGACATTAATGTTGCATGCCACTGCTGCAAATTTTCTATCAATTTTGAGAACAATCCAATATTGATCCCTGAAGGTCAATTTAATTGTTATGAAGTTCTCACAGTCTCCAAACAGCAAATATTGGCGGCGCTCAGGTTAAGAAAATTGTTGAAATATGCGCATGTTTTTATACGAGCTATATTAGTTCAGATGTTTGATAATTTTGACTAATATTGTGACCGTCACCGTTCACACATTGCAACACGATATACACCTTT